GGTCGACTCTGAGGATCCCCCTGCTTCAGAAGCTTTTATCACTCGTCTGAAGAGCATCAAGCACAATCCTCAACCACCGACCGAGCACGTCGCCTGCCTCCCGACAGGGGTTCTCGGGCGGATGTGTTGACAACCCAAGGCGCCGCCTCTCTGCAGGCGCTCTGCGCCGACATGGCACGTCTGCCGTACGCTGCCGTACACCTCTCCCTGGAATCTCTTCCAGGCGCCGCGACCGCCACATTCTTCCATCCCTCCGAGGAGCCGCAGGAAGGGCATGGCGAGTGTGGTAGCGCTGCCGCACCAGCCGCGCTGCGACCGACGGCGCCGGCATCGTATTCTTCCTCGTCTGGCTGTCATAGTGTGCGGGAGGTGGTGATGGTGGCGTGCAGAGCGCTGGGTCAAGTTCCGGGGTTGCGCAGCCTGGCCTGGACCGGGCTGCTGCCGCTCTTGGCACATCTGCCACCGAAGGACATGGCGGTTGCGCTTGGAAGCTTGCGCCAGGTATGCATTTGCGCGGGGTGTAAGCATCTGTGTGTATGTGGGGGGTTGTGTGGGGGGGTTTTGGAAGGGGGAAATCATAAGGGATGTGGGGGGGGACGCCGGGGCCAACTGCCGACACGTTCAAGGCACCAAAACACACACGCGCACACACACGCACCGTGCTGGTATACTTGCTAGGATCTTCCGGGACGGACGATTCGAAGCATTTGCTTTGCAGTACATTCCTTCCATGCTGGTTTTTCTTCTGCCCTATTGGAGCACAGGTTTCGGAGCTGCACATTCCGGGGGGTCTAAGCGGTGCTCATCCTGCCACCAGTCCGGTGTTTCTGTTGCACCTGGCGCGGAGCCTGGAGGCGATGCCGATGTTGGGGCGACTGGGCCTTACGTGTACGGCACCCCACAACGACGCGCTGGCGCAGGTACATGCTGTACGGGGTACATGAGAGATAACGTGCCGTACCTTCTTTTGATACCTAGTAGACTTTTTATATGACCTTTCTAAACACTTTGACCACCATAACTTGGCCAGCTCGCTAACTCCCACAACCGCTAACCGTCCCTGCCTTTTTAAGGGCCTTCCTGGCTTTTTGGTGGCGCTACGGCGGCCCCTCCGGGTAAACGCGGGTTTCGTGTCACGTGAAGACGCGGCGGCACTTCGGGGCCTGCTGATGCGGACCGCACCTGCGGCTGGGGCTGCCGGTGGTTTCGGAGGCAGCTGTGGTTGGGAGCTTGGGACCGCTGCCGCACGTGGCGTCTCCGTTTGCAGGGGTTCGCGCTCTGACTGGGAGGGTGTGGTTACGGTGGTGGCGGGGCAGGAGGGTCGCGCTTTCATGAATGACGGCGGTCAAGGGCCCGGCGGCTGCAGTGGCAGCGGCGGCAGCGAAGTTCTGGGTCGTGAGGTGCAGTGCTGCTACGGTGGTTGGGAGAGGGGCGGCGGCCTATGGTGGTGCGGGGCGGGGAATGGGGAGGAGAGCGGGGGAGGACAGTAGTAGGTGGGGAGCGGGGGAGTGGCAGGTGCGCCAAGGGCAGCCATGGCGGCTTGTGGGGGATTCATATGCTGCAAGGAAACAAGAAGGGATGAACTGCCAGAAGGCGTCCAAGAGGTCGGAAACTGCCCCTAGTGAGTGAGTGAGTCCTTAGCGGTCATGTGATGTCACAGACTCATGGTTTTGGCGCATGTGGGTGGCTTGGGGGTGGGGTGGGGAGGTGGATGAGGGTGGATTTCGCACCTCCGGGGGAAGGCTCATGCGCCGCAAGCAGGGGTTCGTGGAGGGCTGTGCTCCTGTCTCCCTTAACCGCATTCTCGTGGCTCTGCCAAATCTGGCATGCTTGCTGACCGTGCTTGAAATGATTGAGACGGGAAGCGGGGAGACCAGCTGCCAAGGGCCCTTACACTGCAGCAGAACACAGCCCCAGCCAGCTATGGCCGCACAACTGCGGCCCACCAGCCGCCGCACCTCCACCGTGCGGCCCGACAACGGGCCCCGCGGGGCAACACGCGTGCGACAGACCGACACACAACGCGAACCCAAAGAACTCCCAACGACCACCTGATCAGACTCACGCGACGCAACCCCTACCTCCTGAACCCCGGAAGATCCCGGACTGAGGCCCCCTGCAACAAGCGACGCCCCTCCTGCGCTCCCAATGCCCTACTACTAGGCGAAAGGGACTCAACCTCAACGAAACCCTCCCCAACCCGGCCCGCCGGCTGTCTAGCCGCCCTTCAGCGGGCATCTGCCACCAGCCCGCCGCTGGCTGGGCCTGGCGTGGAGGTGTCTGCCATTTACCATCGAAGAAGGGAAAGGGGGGCGATGATAGTCGCGAGTCCTTGGAGGGAGCTTGGCAGGAAACGTCAGCTGCGAGCTGAAGCTCTACTGAGTGAAAGGCAGAATGCCTGTAACGAAGGAACGGAGGCGTGTTATACTCGCCACTCAAGTACGGTGGTAGGACAGTCGCACAGAACCAGACTTAGAGACTCCGATCGCTTCACTCCATCGTATCTAGGTCAGAGTTGTTGACCTAGATACGATGGATCGTATCTAGGTCAACAACTCTGACGATCGCCACCCAACTTGCCCCTTGGGTCGGGGCCAGCGACCTGCCGAAGGACATTTCATCTGGATCGCGGGCGCCCCGGACACCACAATGACGACGTCGGGACCGGCCCACTGACCCCCGGGTGCTTGGTGTGCTGGGCAACTGCACTGGGGGGGAACCCGCTCCCCAATGCTGGAGGGGCCGACCTGACGTGCCTGGGCCACGGACCAGGCCTGGAGACCCAGTACCGAGGGGTCCCCATGTGCAGGAAATCACAGACTGTAGAAGGGACCTAGTGCGGGTTTGGGACCTGGCAGAGGGCAGCGAGCTGGCCGCTCTCAGGACACCCCAACCGTTATCCCCTAGGGTCCAGTCTTTTGAGTTGGAGGGTTGGGTTTTTAGAGAGCCTTTGCCCTAGCTGAGTCTTGTGGAGGTGTTCAGGCGGGACTTGAGAGCCCGTTGTGTTTTCATTGCAGCGCCATCCCCGGATGGAGGCGCTGCTGAGTTGCTGCATCCTGTTTTGGAAGCCTGAGTCGGGGTCGGGAGCACACAAGACTAAGCCGGCTTGCGCTGTGTGCTCCTGACCCTTGTGCTGTGTTTCGGCTTCAGCCCCCGGCTTTTGTGGCCCACGGTGTAATCTACGCATACATACATTGATTTGTAATGGTACATACATACATACATCGCATGGAATCTACGCTTGAAAGCGGCTCCGCGGCGTAATGGTGGCGCGTCGGATTCCAAAACGGGAGACCATCTGAAGGTTGTGGGTTCGATCCTCACCGGGGTCATTCTTTTCCGTTGGTGGTGTTTTGTGGGGTTGTTTCAGAGAGCCTTTGACTTTGCCCTAGCTGAGACTTGTGGACTCGCTCTAGCGGGACCTGAGAGCCCTTCGTGGTGTATTTAATGCAGCGCCACCCCTGGATGGGGGGGCTGCGGAGTGGCTGCGTAGAGTGTTGGCAGTCTGAGTCGGGGTCGGGAGCACACAAGACTAACCGACTTGTGCTTTGTGCTCCCGACCCTTGCGCTGTGTTTCGGCTTCGGCCCCCGGCTCTCGCAGCCCACAGTGTAATCTAAGTCATACATACATACATACTTACATACATCTAAGTCATACATGCATTCATAAGCCTGCGTCTGTAAAGATCATGCCGCGGTGTACTAGATATGGACTTATGTCCCTATTTTATGCATATTGCACACGCATCTGTGTGCGTATATGTGGGCATAGGTGTGTTTATATGTATGTCCCAGCATCAAGTGCAAGTAGGCATCATCATTTAAACTCAGATAAGAGATGAGCTGTGCAGGACATAAGAGTTCTGGACGATAACAACTACTAAGCAGGGGCCCGTATATTGGTATGATGTTGGGCCGCATTGATGACTAAAGCACGAATACCGAAGCTTATGAAGGAAAGACCAAACCCGTACAGGTAACCGCTGGTTGCCGTGTTCAGAAGACAGACAGCCGGTACGACAGATGGTACTAGTTACGTTGGTCAATCAGTACGGCAATATTTCAGCCGCAATGGCGGCCTCAACCCCCCCAAAGCATCTTTCAAGGAACGTTAGGAACACTCCCTAGAGGTGTGCCAAATAAGTAGGCCACCGTGTTCATGCGCCTGCGGCAACCCCTCCTTATGGATAGCTCCCCGAACGGCAGCCGCCGCCGCAACGTCCTCCTTGGGGTGCTGGATGGCGGCGCCAAAGCAACCCAAGCTAAATCATGCGTGCACACATGCCGAACGCTAGCTAGGCTAAAAGGCATCGCGCAACACAATTGCGCCCCAAAAACACTATGATTGCTCTGAAGGGCGCTTGCTTGCTCCAGGTCCACCACAGCAGCAGCAGTAGCAATAGCACAGTACTAGCAGCAGTAGTAGCAGCAGTCGCCGCGGTAGCAGGAGCAGCAACAATAGCGGTAGAATATGGCGGTGGCAGTACCGGTGGTAATAGCAGCAGCAGCAGCAACAACGACAGTAGGATAGGAAGCAGCGCAGCACCGGTTGCCCGCCGCCTTGTACATACAGCCGCGGCTTCTAAATAACCGACCGGTAGTTTGAAATGTCCTCGTCAACCACCTTGCCATTATGTCCAACAGATTATGTCCAACACCCCTCTGCGTTCTGTGCTGTATCACGCGTGTACAAATTGGGAAGGATACGACCGCCATTATAAATAGATACGAAAATATTTCTTCAGGAAACCGGTAGAGGTTGTGGGTAAGAGGGTAGGAGGTGGGTTTGGGTTCCCACCGGTTCCCCGAAACTGGTGGGGCGTTTCCCGGTGGGAACCTCCTACCTACGGGTAAGAGGGTCCCGTGCGCGGAAGGGCCCGTGGTGCCGGGTTGAGTTGGGGGGATGACGGCAACAGGCTCGGGGCTCGCGCCATCATGGTAGTAAAGTTATGCAGACATTTCTTGTGCCCCGTCCATGACTCCAAGTAGCGACTCTACATGCATTGTTGCAGACAATAATAATATAGACGTTCGGCCATTATTCAACATTTATGGCAGCACGCCCGCCCGCCAAGCCACAGAACATACATACACACGTACACCTGCATGTGCACACTGAATACACACAGACATACAACAGTGCAAACATGTACACATGTCCCCTCATACGCACACACACACATACGCTTCAGATAATAAAAACACACACATCCACACATGCACACACACGCACGCACATACACCCGTTCACACAGATAGCTGCATACAAACGCACGTAAAACATGAGCAGGAAGTAGGACTCCACAGGATCCCGCAAGCCACAGCCCAGTAGTTAATGAGTGAGCCAAGTAGTTGTTAGGCAACACGTACCGCATATCACAGCGGCTCATGCACACACACCAGCTGCCGTACACCGTTCACTCTAGCTGGCGCACAATTATGCAGATAACATTTAGCTTGCCGTACGCGTCCTCGTCAGCAATGTTTCACTCCAACCTAAAACCGTAATACAGTGCAACCGCTACATCTCACCAATGTCACATCGCAGTGTTGCAGCGGGCTATTAAGCATGGCCGCGGTTATTAAGTAGTACACGCACACTTTGACTGGGTTCAGCCGCCGCCTCTAGCAAGGAAATCAAGACTAAAACCCGACCAGGATGGTCTTGTGCCGGTGAAACCCTGCCTTGCCAAGATGCAAGAGACCCAGCCCACCCGCTAGCTGCAGTAGCTGGTACACAGTACGGCTCTATAAATACGCGCGTAGCGCGACCACCAGCATCTCGAGAGGCCTTTTCAGCGGCCAGCTACTACACTAGCCAAATTTCACTACTGCTCCATCTAAGCTTGCAGCAATTAATGAAAGAGACCTTGCAAGGATTGCTAGCTTTGAGGACCTATCCTCTATATCAATGGCGTTTACCAAGCCGTGCGAATCTACGGCCTACTTATCTGCCTGCCTGCCTACTTGCCTGCCTGCCTACTTGCCTGCGATAACCCAAGCCGCGCACACAAGGAGTAGTCGTTGCCATACCATGCATTATCGGGCTTTTCCCGAGCAAGCAACGAAGTCAACGAACACTTTCGAGCAACCGTGAGCATCATCACTACTACTATACTACTGTCACGGCGCGCCGTCAGTCACGCACAACATTTTGCACGAGTTGTTTCAAAAATGGCCCCCATGTATATCCATCTGCCTACCACCTGCTTTAAAAAAATCAGGCAGAACAGTGTACACGCACGTAACTACTACGCACACGCGGCTAAACGTGCGAATAGATGGATAGACAGATAGGGAGCTAGGTAGGTGTGCTAATGACACGCTTAACTAATAACCTGGCGCTGATTGGCTTCAACAAGCAAGACACTGATCCTCATGCCATGATGGCCAATTGCGAAACCTATCTTCTCACGTGCAAAAACCAGACCACCCGCGGTGACACTTATCCCAGCTAACGCATCATTAGAGTACGCAAATGTATGTGTGCTGTTGCTCTTAGCGAAAAACAGACCACCATTCATGTCACCTGCATGCAACGTTGCCCCTCATCATGGCGCCCAAGCAATCAGTTTCGTGCATGGTGCCTGACTGCCGGCACCCCGCTGGTGCACCTATGCGATCGTCCATCGATGCGCACAGCAGGTCGCTATACAACGAGAAAAGGAAAACCTAGCCGCAAGCTTGCCCTATCATAGGGCACGTTTGATCTTGTGCCCAGATCGATTGAGGTGGTAAGGTCTGGATGGCCGGAGAGGGAACCATGCTCTACAGGATGCACGGGCACACGCACATACCTGCTATATGTACCTCATTCTTCAGTGCCATGCCTGCGTGCCTGCCTGGCCGCCTGCCCGCTTGCATGAATGAGTCTGCTATGAGTAATCAACATACGGCTAAAACGCAACCGGCGAGCTTGTAGGCCGGGGTGTCGCCATCGCCATCGCCATCGCCATAGCATACATAGCATACATAGCATACATAGCATACAACATATCGCCATATGCAGCAACATCGCGCATCTGCGCGAAGCACAAAGCAACTAACCAGTCTACAGGAGTGTGTGGGTAGGTGCACCAGTACTACAAAAACACGTGCGACGAAATCACCAAGCACGTCGGGCCCGTAAGCAGCATAGCGGCATATGCGCACATGCGTACTTATACAAACGTACATACATGTTGAGTGATAGGATAATAGTTTTTCTTATGCGTTGTTAACCATTTTTGACGGCCCTACGCTGGCCCTAGACTGGCCCCCCCATGGCTTGTGTGGGCCCCCTAGGTTGCACCTTTGGAGAGCAACGCAACTCCAGAAGGTGAAACACACACATGCGTACATACATACATACGTAAAAAAATACGCCGTGTACGTAGCCCGTAAGTCCGTGCTCCATTTAAATGCACGTGCATGTGTATATATGTTTGTATGTGTATATTACTGCGCATGCACTTCATGAAATGATGCAGGCCTTGCAGCCCTTGGTTACCTTGGCTTTCATCCCTCCGCTTTCCCTGCTGCTGCTTCCCTTACTAGCCACCCTGGGACCACTGGATCGCATTCATCCAATGACCGTACTTGCGTGGCGCCAAACTTGCGTGGCGCCGTACTTGCGTGGCGCCGTACTTGCATGGCTTTATTTGGCTGCCAAAAAGGCAGCATGCACGCTGCAACCCCTCCGGCCACCTCTTCGCGTCCAACACTGCTGCAGCTGCATCGACTAACATGTGTGCCTAAATCCACGCACATGCATACATGCATACATACATTCATACACACTCAACATGCATACACTGCGACAAGTCGGCCCAAGGTTCTCACCTTGGCACCAATATAGGACACCGCCGCGCGGGTCCCCCCCTCTCTACCCTCTTAGCTCATCAATCATTAAGCAGACGCAAGCACCTCAGCCTGGCAACCGGGCGCAGGCCGGTGCGTGCAGGAATCGACCTCTCAGCTCGACCGCGTGCCCCTGTTGCCTGTCTGGTCTGTTTATATGTCTGCCTGCCAAGCTGGCTGCTGCTAAGGAAGACACCGCACGCCCGCCAATGTCCCAGATCCGCAGGTCTCAGTCGCCACAAAGCTCGAGCCCAAACAGGCAACCAGATTGGGCTCATTTCCGGAGGTACATTTTACGGAAGATCTCCAGTAGCGCATGCCCGGTGGCAGGGCCGAGGCGCCTAGGTTGTAGCCACCAAGCGCCTGGGCGACCGAGGCGGTGATTCCGCCATTTAGCTGCCGACATACAACTGCTGCAGACCGGCTGTCCCAGGAGTCCCAATAGTTACCGCTTTCGGTACAGATGGCGCCCCAGACGTTGTTGCGGCAGATGTCCACGCGACCCACGGCGGGCAGGGACGTCTGTACGTTGTCGAACGCCGCCACAACGCGAACGGCGCCCTCTACAGTACCTAGCGCGTGCGGGCGATTAATCGATGGGGCGATTAACGGGGCGACTAAATAGTGAAGCGAGCGTGCGAGCAACGGGCGAACATAGACTGATTTTGCGAACGGTGCATGTGGTCGGAAAAGGAGGACTGATGCACATACATAAATACAGGTACTGACAACCCGAGTACCGGAGGATGCCGTGCGCCAAGCGGCAATCGGTGGAAGGTACAAAGACACACATACGTACACACACATGTACACACACGTACACACACGTACACACACATGTACACACACAAAAACACTGCTGAACTGCATAAAGTACGTAGTAGCAGGGACTGGACTAGACTACAACAAAAACACTTACAAGCGTGGCTGGAAGGTGGTGGAGGCGACGGCGGAGGTAGCGGCGGCTGCTGCGGCGGCAACGCCGCAATGCTGGCAGGGTCGTTGGAACAAAGCAGACCAACCGCCTGGGTGCGGGGATTGCAAGTGCTGCCGCCCCACCCCGAAAAACGACATTGGATCAGCCTCCAGAATCCTAGCTCCACCTTAAAAATGGAGCATCGCACATTATCCATCCAGAAGAACGCGCCGGGCCCCGGGTCGCCGGCCACCGCGCTGTTCGACGGGCCCATGGGTCGCCCGTACAGGTAGCCAAGCTGACGACACGCCACGCGCGCCTCCGGCATCCCGAAGCCATTGTCACATACCAGCCCGTATCGCCCGCTATAGCACACCTCCAGACGGCCTGCGCCCTGCCGGCCCGCAATGGGCACCAGCCGCAGCGCGCCGTCCTCGGAGCACTCAGGCGGCGGTGGCTGGGGCGGTGCTACTGGCGCCGGCGTGTTAAAGCAGACCACGCCTGCGTCCTCCTGGTGGGTGCAGGGCACCCGAAACCCTGAGGCGATCGTACGGCGCCTGCACGCCAAAAGTGAATCCTCCGCTCCCGTACAATCCACGTTAGAAACCCAGATGCTCATGTTCAGGGGGCCAGGGGAGTGCTTCACGACGCCCAAGGCGGCGAGTTGCGGCGGGAGGTTACCTCCCCCGGAGAGGGCAACGGCGCTTGGGTAGCCGAGCTGCTTGCAAGCCACCATCGCGTCCGCGTTGCCCCAGTCGTCATCGCAAATACTGCCAAACGGCCACACAGGTCCAGAGCTCTCTCAGATCAATGAATGAAATAAAATACGAGTAAACAGCGTGAAGGATTGGGCGAGCCCTAGTCGGCATTCAGCTGTGGAACGCTCGGCCACGTACAGGTTCTGGTGGCAACATTCCTTCTACTATTGCTGCCTCCCCGGCCACCCACCTGCCCCATTGTCCCGACGAGCACACCTCCACACGACCGCTGACCAATGGAGCCGGAACAGTGCTGCTGCCTGTCCTTATAGTGTTATCGTTCTGTACCAGCCTCAGGCCGCCCTCCTGGCTGCAGGGGTTGTCAGCTGGCTGCCAGCTATTGCTGCCGTTGGTAAATCCCGACAGCGGCGGCGCCGCGGCCGCGGCTGCGGAGGGGTCGTTCTGGAGGCAGATCAAGCCGGCGTCGGACCTGTGGTCCACCACTCCGCCGGGAGTAGAGTAGCAGTCCTTTGGCGGCGTGGGAAGCCGGCAGTCCGTAAGACTGCCTTCGCTGCCCAGGCAGGTGACGTTGCCGATGTGAACCGGGATTGTGATAGCGGCGCTAGGGAACCAGCCGCCTTGGATGGCCTCGCCCCCGGCGGGGAAGCCCAGCTGCCTGCACGCCACACGCGCGTCGTCCCAGCCCCAGCCCATATCGCAGATGGTGCCCCAGACGTTATTGCGGCAGATCTCCAGCCGCCCCGACCATGCGTTGGGCCCGTCCATGAGCCGCAGCTGGCCATTCGTGCCTGAGGGAAGGGAAAGGAGGGGGGAAATAATAGTGTTGATGACTACATGTTGGAACAGCAGTAGAGGTAGATCACGCAGCTACTGCGCACCTGCGAGTCTCTTGTCCTGTTCCTTCGCCCCGCATGTCATCAGGGTTATAGGGCCCAGCTCTGTAACTGCATGAACCTTCTGACACGTGCTATGGATCACGGAATGCGGCCTGCTAACGACCAACTAACGCTTTCATCCCCGGGAAACACGCTTACATATTGACATCGCCATCGCTGTCGCTGTAGCCGTCGCCGCCGCCGTCGTCAATGACATTGCCAGGGTAGGAGCACGCTGCTGCTGAGCGCTCAGAGGGCTGGGCCTGGAAGAGGCCGAGGACGTTGAGGTGGAGGTCGCGATGTCGCTGCTGCTCCTTGTGTTTACCTCATCCGTGCTTGTGCCTGTCCCCGAATCAGCACCACCATCACTAGAATCAGTACTGCCGCCACCGTTGCCCAGACCCGGAATGGGTACGGTCCCGTCCGCTAAATACGACTCAGGTATATACGAATCATACTCCGGTGCATAGGTATCGCCATCGGTGCTACCATCCCCTGGCAGCCACGGCGCGGCAGCCTCATCAACCTCGATAACTGATGTCTTGCTCTCCCTTGTGCCAGGCTCTGAGCCACGCAGACCCCCCGACACGCCTCCCTCAGTTTTACTGCTGGCCAGTGCTGCAGCATCACGACCGGCATATGTTGGTGGCCATGACGCGTCACCCTGTGGGGCTATCGTGTCCCCATTCGGTGGGATCGCCCAGGGTGGGGCCAACGTGTCCTCGCCTTCGCCTGCACGCCCAGCTGCAGCGAATGCAGCTTTGGATGCAAGTGATTCTGCTGCTTCAGGACCAACGACGGTGGCGCTGGCGGATTTCCTGCTCAGCAGCATTGCCGGAGGCGGTGGGGGGATGCGGGCAACCGATGGCGATGCGAGGCCCCTCAAGGATGCCGATCCGTCCGGCTGCGGCCACATCCAGCGGACGATGTTGCTAAAGTGGAAGGCATCTATCGGGGTCCAGTAGGAGTAATCGGTATCCCCGTCTTCGCCGCCGCTCAGCACACCAAGCACCCTCAGGTCGGACAGGTCCATCACACTCATGCCTGAACTGCCCGGTGTTGAACGGCAGTAATTGTACATCATCCACGTCGGTCGACACTGTGACGTGGATAGGAAGCACTGCACGCACAGCGGCGCAAATATATTAGTATCCGCCGGGTAGCCGCAGGCTAAAGTTTTAGGGTACGACGCCCGCGTGCAGTCGTACTTGATACCCAGCCAGGACGTGTGCGGACTCTTCACGCGAATCACTGCAATATCGAAATAATTGAGGCTGTTGCGCTGGGCGCTAATGTTGTACACCCTGCTGCTGCCGCCGGCGCCGCTGCTGCTCTCCGTGCGGTAGAATGTGACGAAGTCGGGGGCGAGGGGACGCAGGTTGAACGGCCTTGAGTCCAGGCCAGGGTAGATCGACCAGTTGGTGAAGCCGGTTGAGCTTTCGAAATTCCACACGCAGTGGGCGGCGGTCAGCACATCCCAAGGAGTGATGAAGGTGCCGCTGCAGCGGAAGAACGTGTCACCTTCGACGGGAAAGCGGATGTAGGCGAGCGCACTGAAGGGGTACACGGAGCTGCTAGACCAGGCACGCCATGGGTCGTCTACAAGCAGGCCTCGTCGCCGCTGCCGCTGCCCTGCTCGGCCCATGCGGCGGTTGGTACGGCTGCCAAGACGGTGGGACGAGGCAGTGGTAGCAGCAGTAGCAGCTGTGATTGCTGCTTCCGCCGCGTCCTCGTTAGGAAAATTAAAACTGCCGTTAGTGCTAGCTTGTAGGCGCCATCCTGCTTTAGTAGCGTGTGTGGTGCTAGCGATACCGCGATCGTCGCCTTCGCCATCGGCAAGGTGGCTTTTGCCGCTAAAAGCAGCTGAAGCTCTGCTTTGTAGCAGGCTGCGGCGGGCGCCTACAGCTGCTGCCTCCTGGTCGTATGCGGGCCGCGGCTGGGCTTCCATGTACAGCGCGCCATCGCTGACGGAGTAACGAATGGCGCGGACCTGACAGATGTTACATGGAGCAGACGCGGAGGCAATTACATGTGCACACCATTGCACCGTTGACGAGGGGAAGATGCCGGCAAGCATGCGTTCATGCACATGGCGCAATTAGTGCAAACCGGAAAGGCTGGGGCAACACCACCATGCCCCCCCCCACGCGCGAGTTTTTTTTCCAAGATCCCCAGCTTATGTGCAGCTGCTGCTACGGACACAGATGACCTTGCCAGCCTCCGTGTCTGGTCGTCTTTGACTGTGCCACTGGGCATTAAATGAACGCACCTGCGCCCGGGCCCTCTTCCCGTGTACTCCCCTTTCCCCACCTGTTTCCCACCTTCCCTGACCCGACGGTATGAGGATGCTTTTCAACCTTAGGGCAGCAAAAGGGCCCCGGGCACTAAAATGGACATCTCGCGCTCAGACACACGAACATGCACGCAAGCACCAGCACCCACCCCACACGATTTTTCGCATGCATGAATGCATTTTACTCGCATGAGCTTACGTTTCGTACCTGTAGCCCGGCATCACCACTGGTATCGCTCTTTCTGCTGGCATCCGCAGCTCCTCCTGCAGCGTTTCCCTGGCTCTGAGGAGCTGCGCCCATCCTGTGTGGCAACAAGAAAGGGAGGATGCACATGTGACACACGGGGATAAAGAAAGGGTCATGTGATTGCACCATCCACCCAGCTATATGGGTACCGGTTTGAGAAGTCTGCCACATACATGCATGCACATATACATACGGGTTTTGGCCCTTGCACATAGTCCTACAATTTTCCGCACGTGCACGCGCCTTAGGCCTAAAAGCACTTCCGTTTCTGCGTGTATTTACTAGCGCGCGTGTGCACGTGTGTGGAAGTTGGTTTCCATTTTCACAACCCGCGACAAGGCGTGCAGTCTATCTGTCCGAGGATCAAATGGCGAAGACAAGGAGGAATGACAGCTTTTTGTATTGCGAATAAACTGGCAGTGAACGTTGCAACCCGGTTGCGGACACAGCAGCACCCGTACAGAAACGCTGTACAGCAACTGCCAATGTATGTGTGTGTGGTTGTTACAGTGGGCGTGCCAATGTGGTCTGTTTGGGCGCATGGTCGTACTCAATTCCCAACTGCAGTGGTGTAGATATATCCCGACGAGGTGTGCCCCTCCTCCGGGATGTGGCCTCTAGGTCCCGAGCCCCACCTCGGGGGCCCCATTAGGTTCCTAGGGGGCAACTCCCCTCCAACTGCATGTGGGTGGGGATTTCAGCTTCGGTGGTTTCGGGTTAACACCGCAGGCATTCCAGGTGGTGAGTTTTTGCAGTTTCGGAGCCTCGCTGTGGGCCTCTGTGGTGATCAATATCCAGGACTGTCTTCACTGCCACTGGGCACTAATGCAAAAGGAAAACTGGGGGCGTCGGGGAATGGTGTCGGACTTCGAAAGGGACCCCAGTGCCGTGGGGTGCGTGGTCTGCCGTAGGATTTTGCCGTGGGGTTCATGTGTTGCCATGCCAATCAGGCTATCATGTCATCTGACGGTGAGCAGCATTGAATGCACCATGCGCCACAACCGATGTACGCCGCCGCACAAAAAAACAAAGGGCTTCCAGTTTTTGCCCTATGGATGGCACGCACGGAACTTCAGTGTCGCAACTGCTCGTGCTGATCGTGCTGATCGTGTGGATGCTTTGGGACGCACTCGTGCAAGCAATCCATCTTTCCATGGGCCTTGTAAGCGACCTCGTGCACTTCCTCCCTCCGCACCTCCCCCCACCTACCTGCCCTTAAGTTGCTCATGGCTCATGTGCTCAACCGACCGGCGGCTCAGATCCAGAGCACCCAAGAAAACGAACCCTTCAGAATTAAAGCGTGAAGTTTTGACAGCTGTGTTGCTGCTGCTGCGCTGATTACCGCCGCTGCTTCCACCATCGCTACTGCTACTACTACTACTACTACTACTACCACCATCATTACTACCATTGATACTACTATCACTACTACTACTGCTACTACTACTGCTGCTGCTGGTGCTTAAACTACTCAATCGCATTTGCAAGCCGCCACTGTTTTGCGCTTGCTGTTGTGCTGTCGGGTCGGCCGTTGTCGTACCGACGGTCCACGGTGCCTGTCGCAGCAGTTCATCGCCTGAGAGTGGGGGCATCATACATTGTTTAAATTGCAAACATGTTTTAACTTTATCCGAGGGCTAGCATTGGGAAAGCAAGCGAAGCCCATCGTGGCCAGTTCACCTTCGCAAGCGCCCCTGCGACTGCCCAAAAAGCCCTGGCATTCGGCGACACAACGATGTCGGAACGTTATGCCGTCAGCACAAACCGGATTGACAGAATCTGGACATTTGTCACAGCTCAAACGCAAGGGCGGAGGTAGCGCTGCCGTGGCAAGAGAAAAAAACGCAGCAAGATTAATGGTTGAGAACCAGAACTGTTGATAGCTAAGCCTGATTTTCATGGCGACGAGCGTGGGTTGATATGCAAGCCTCAAGTAAGGGCTTGCGTAGAAAGCTCCTTCGGCATAGTCCGTAAGATGAGTTGCGTAAATGATTTTCCTGGATTTACTTTTCGCTTATATGGCATATGGTTGTGAGTCAGTTGACCGCAGATGCAGTGTAGCTTCACATCGGATGTGGATAAAAATTAACCGTCCAACACATTTGCCGCACTTATCGATAATTCACTAAGCACCTCTTGAAAAACGAAATTCGCTTTGCCGCCACACATGAGGTGGTCCTACGCAGGTTGGGCAGCCGCAGATACTAGCTACTGACCTTTCGATGCATACGGCGCACATGAGACGGCGCGAGGTGCCGTACACGATGCACTCAACGAAGATAAACCCTGCACCACTATTTAACGCCGCGCAACATGCGATTTGACTCCAAATTAAGGTAGTGAAAGGTGCATACTAGATGCCAAGGTCGAGAATGTGGCTGCTTCGTAGATTGGAGGTTTGTCGGAGAGTCAATGCGCGAGTTGAATTCGGTTAGGTAGGGCAACCCATAGCCCCCACTTGCAGAGGTGAAAGTTCAGGAAGATGTGCCAAACGAGCATGGAAGGCTCTTGGCGCAATCCATTTTTCCTTCGCAACCAGCTCCCCTCTATCTATCCGGAGCGACTAGTGATCCGAACCAGGCGCTTAGCGGGCGGCATTCGAGTACTGGTGGCTTGGGTGATTGCCACTGGGGCTTTCCTGACGTGCATTGTCTATATTTCGACCAAGCGCGCGCGCGTGCGCCTAATGCCAGCAATCCTCAAGCTCTGCCCACTATTTTTATGCGCTGTTTACTCTTTGTTAATTCTGCTGCCTGCCATTGCGCAACTGATATTGACACAGAACTGCCGCTACGTAACGGCTGCTGGTAATAGCCCTTATAGCTCTCGCGAATCTGCTACTACGCAAACCGCCGCAGGCACCTAATATAAAAGGTGTAACGTACAATACTTCGCTGGTACCTCGATTAGCAAAGTTCGAACTGACTATTTTTCTTCAGCTATATGAGATGATGTGCGTAGGGTTCGATTGCACTTACTTGCCTTTCTACTTTATTTCTACTTAGATTCGGCCCCCTGCCTGTCATCTTTGCCTTTTCCCCGAGACCCAAGATATGAGATCTGAGTTCGATTCCTAAGCATGTTGTCTCTACTTTTTGTTTCGCCATTGTTACTTGCTTCACCAGCTGGGTGGCTAAACCCCTCGACATAGCTAAAACTTAACCGTCACTGCGGTTATAGCATAGCACACAACCTTCGGCCCAGCATAGAGAATTTATTATTATATGTTATTGTTATTGTTCGGAGAACTTGCCGGAAATGTCGCTACACGCGCTGCCAGCCTTCTTTGTGATGAGTGACATGTTGTATGTACATGTATTATACATATACACCATATTGCATGCTTGATATATTGCGCAAATGCAACACCCCGGACGCCCAGCGCTTAACATCGGCCTTGTATGTGATGACGGGTTGCCGCCATCCGCGCGCGTGGGTTAGCGTCGGACGACGGAGCTGCCCACGGCAGAGGTGGTGCGGTAGTGGCGCTAGTATGTCGATGCTGTCCACAATGGGGGTTATCCAGCAGTGGCGGCGGTGGTGCTATGGCGATGGCAGTGGCGGCCTCGGGCGCTGTGGTGACGTCAACGGCACCAAGGGCTCTACATCCGCTGTTATCCTTTCAAATACGTGTGTGTTCATAGGCTCCCCCGGCGGTGTACAGTCCGATACGCGGCGCATTCGTTTGGCGAGCGGATTCCCTATGAGCGATCGTGCGTGCTTTGGCTGGTCACCGCATGCATAACTTCGTCATTGGAAGTAACCCGCCGTAGCCACTGTCCGTCTTTTTCCGAATTACAGTGGGCAAGATTTGAACGCAATAATCCAAAGATTGCTGGGGTCCCTGAGGGGCGAAACATTGCGCTTTGTAATATATGTATATGAATACAACTATGAATACTACTATGTATGTAGTAATCTGTGCCTTGGCACCAAGCTCTTGCACCCAATACACCATAATACGAAACTGCTGTTAGCAGGGTTTCGCAACTACTCTCTGTAACTACTCTCATGCAGCCGCTAACTTTCATGCAGGAAGCAACTACTACGTAACAAGCAACGAGCACTGCGCTGCTACCGATGTACGCCCTGATCATGACATGCGCGTATGTGTTAACCCACCCTCCATAGTTATCTGTTTTCCTCTCCCATCCCCTCTGCTTGGTCGTCCGTGTTATCTGACCAGCCACGTGTTGCCTCACACTGCCACACACGGCAGTAGAACCCGCCGCCACATGTTGTGGCGTGCGTGGATAAGTACAGTGTGGTAATGGTGGATGGTGCTGTACGGAGTTCAGTCCTAGATATACGACAATCCAAGTGTGTGCAAATAGCCCAGAAGCCTCCCACTCCGTAGCATCATCATCAATAGCACAACAACAACATGTATCTTGCTTTCATGAACACGAGCAGACAGGCAGACAGACGCACGCACGCAGGCACGCACACGAGTTTCTGCGCTATAAATAAGCTGAACAGTTGGGAAGTGTGGTCCTTCGTGTAAAGCCCTGGGGGGCCTTGCGTCGCGCTCGTGTTTTTTTTTCGGAACGGATTTATCAGTTCAACAAGCATCTTTATTGCAACGCATGTATATACGTGGCACGTGGCGTGATCTCGCATCTACAGCAGGCCAGCGAAGTGCAGCCAGCAACGCCGCCGCTCATCGCCGCAGGACAGTGCAAGCATCCCATCCCTTCACAAAAAGTAAAGCTTGACGGAAGGTTGCGCCTCTCCTTGCAACCTTTTGGTCTCGCTTCCTTATTGCTTGTCTTGCTGCATCCACATGGATTGCCTTACCCCTCGACAAAGGGGTGGGCCCCTCCCGAATTCCTTATTTTTGCTGTTCCCAAGTTGCAAACCGTCCCTGTCGTGCTTCTTATCCATGCAATTTGGCAAACATGCACAACATCATGCTTTACGTATTTTATCCACACCTCAGACCGCATACTTCAAGGGGCCAAATTGATGCGTTGTAGAGATCCCAGTTTGCCTTACTGTTCTCGAGCGCTTGTGAACAGCTGGGCAAGGAAGTAATGCTAGACATGCAGACACCAGGGTATGTTAGGGATGATCAATAAATCTTCAGCTGTTGATCGCTGTTTGAACCTAGCGTGCATGTAAATGATCCCTTGCACACCATACCTTGCCGTATCCTAATAAATCGATGGGCAGTAGCCGATCCTCCTGGACTTGGCGCTTCAGAGAAGCTGTGTTCGCTGTGACTGTTGGAAAACAACTTCATCCATTCGCCCACCAATGCGGCTGTCGGGCTGCTGTGCTTAAAGTATCGCTCAACTTATTGTGTTTGATTTTTTGTTCAATTTTCATAACCCTACAGGCGAAATTAAATTAAACAAACAAAAATTCAACCCATGTTGATTAGGCCCCCGGACGATTAGGACTTCTATTAAGTTTTGCCGCCTTGTATCCTACCGGTGCGTAACCGGACGTAACCAGGTTCCGAAAAGAGGAGCGGAATCCGCATTGTTGTAGCCTAAGTCTACAAAACTTTGTACACGTCAGAGTGTTTTTTTAATGGGAATCCAAATAAGCACAAATGCAGTGCGTCCACAGTCCCGCTTAGAAGTGGTCTGTACGTTTCCGCGCCCAAACAACAGTGTTAAATTTCGATGCGTCCATCCAACCGTAAGGGCTGGTCAAGCATCTCAAATCCAGCTAGAGATTGCTGCCGGATCCTGCAAATGATTGTGATGATTGATGCTGGCCCCGAACCCACAGTGCAAATACTAAAACAGCGCAATCAACATTACATAAGTATCCGTGAACCTCAAAAACTTAGAAGCAACTAAAATGGAATCGAATAATGATGTATTACCAAAGCCATGACAAACGCTTGAGTGCGTAGGCTTCCTAATAATGCTTCCCAGGGCTCCTTCCCGCCATGCGAACAACGAACAGCTAAACCTGGAGCTTGCTGCGCATTATTGGCACGCCGCAATAGGTTGGAAGCATTGGTATAGCTTTGTAGTGAACCCTTCTGGAAGTAGGGCATGCAATTGGGTATATAAGTGGCAAGTAATAAGCGTCCATGTACTGCTGACTTCGGCCGCCAGCCAGCCAGCCACTTAGGATGAATCGGCCTGGTGCCTCACAGACCCAAATTCACGCGTTAGAACATGGTATCCAGCAGGAGTACGCGCAGGGATAGCTGCTGCAATTTTTTTTACAAAAATGCTTTGTCTTCCCATTATTATCGTGTGACAAGGAGCATTGTTAATTTTATTCACTTTATAATGCACGCAGTCCGCCGGGGGTCCATGCTGCAAAGTCTATCCCGATTTTTCGCCGAGATTCGGCGGGGAAGAATTTAGCGGGAACCCAAAGCGCGCGGCCCAACAAACGCAATGTGCCATTGCATTTATCTAATTCTGGCATGTATGTTAGGAAGTGGACGTAAATTGGGCCGCCGCGCGCAATAATGGGACTGATTTGAAGTCCTTTGTGCCCATATTGCTGTGCGGTAGCCTGCTGGCATTCGGGAACCTAAGTGAACTGAATTAAACATCAGACGGTACAATAAGACTGCATGCAACAACTAAACAGGTGCACGTTATCTCTGGTTACGTTCAGC